AATCAAATTAGCTGAAGGCTGGCACCTGTGATGCTGGCCACCACTGGAGGAGGCTGAGACAAATCATCCACTTTGCATTTCTGGCTGCAGATTGTTATAAATGTTTCAGTCTCGTCTCTTTCACTGATGTGCCGGGTTGTTTAATTGTCCACCACTATTCGTGATGGAATGTTGTAGGGCTAGAGAACGATCTGATCCACTGGTTGTGGGTTTGCACACCTCATGCAGCATACAGTGTTTGGCATGCAAGTAGTCCTGTTTTATAGCTTCACTTGGTTAACAGCTCATTTTTAGATATGCCAGCTGATGCTCCTGGCGTGCCCTCCTTCACTCTTCATTGAACCATGATTGATTATCTAGCTTCATGGTAATGGTCCAGTGGGGAGAGGGGTATGTCAGGTTAAGAGGTTACGGATTGTGATTGAATACAATTCTGATGTTGATGGTCTGTAGAGCCTCATCAAATTGCTAGATTTGTGCAAAATCTATGTCATTGAGCATGGTAGAGAGATAACAAGGTGTAGAGCTGGATGAACACAGCAGGCCAAGCAGCATCAGAGGAGCAGGAAGACTGACGTTTCGGGCCTAGAACACAGCAGGCAGAGGAGCAGGAAACCCTAACCCTAACCCTAACCCCCTTCATTTTTCTGAAGAAGGGTCTAGGTCCGAAACGTCAGCCTTCCTGCTCCTCTGATGCTGCTTGGCCTGCTGTGTTCATCCAGTTCTACACCTTGTTATCTCAGTATATCCAGCATCTGCAGTTCCTACTATCATTGAGCATGGTAACTGTGCCACATTACACAATTCAGGGTTTCATATATGTGTAGGTGGGACTTTGTTTCCACAAGGATGAGCTGGTCTCTCCGACAGCACTGTCACAGACAGATGCATCGGGAAGGCGATGGCCTAGTGGTATTATTGCTGGGCTGTTAATCCACAGACCCAGATAATGTTCTGGGGACCTGGTTCGAATCCTGCCATAGCAGATGGTGGAATTTGAATTCAATAAAATATCTGGAATTAAGAGTCTAATGATGACCGTGAATCCATTGTCAACTGTTGGAAAAACCCATCTGGTTCACTAATGCCCTTTAGGGAAAGAAACTGCCATCTTGCCCTGGTCTGGTCTGGTCTACATGTGACTCCAGATCCACAGCAATGTGGTTGACTCTTAACTGCCCTCTGGGCAATTAGGGATGGGCAATAAATGCCGCCTCGCCAGTGACGCCTACAATCCGTGAATGAATAAAGAAAAAAAATCTGCTACAGGGAGCTTGGTGAGGATGAGGTCAAATGTGTTTTTCCCTCACCAGCTGGTGCAGGCCCAGTCAAGCAATTCCATGCAGATGGGATTCCTACACTTCTCTTTCACTAACGAAGGGAGCTCTGCATTTCTGACAGGAGATTCTACTCAGGTCTTGCTCAGCAATATGGAGTTTTTTTTCATTCTGACAGGTCTTGCATAGCACAGAACAGTCAGAAGAAGGCAAATCACATCCCCTTTTCACAGCAATCAGTTGCCATATTCTGAAATGTAAAGGTTCAGACAGTCATTTTGACAACTGCTGACAAATGGCATTTGGTAAGTCTGAGGTGAGGGTAATAGCATGGTAGGGTGCCAGCTGGGGGTGTAGGGGTTAGGAGTAGGATGCCAGATGAGTAAGGGAAAGAACTCCAGGGCACAGGGTGGCAAGGAAAGTAGGTGATGGTAGGTCAGGATGGGACAGAGAAATTGGGATTGATGGGGTCTGGTCCGAGCGCTCAGCGTTTGGCATCAAGGGTGGCGTCAGGCCCAGTGGTCAGGGTTTCAGGTTGAGTCCTGGGGGAAGTGGTGGGTCAGGGTCTGGAGGGAGTAAAGGGTCTGGGGTGGTTACTTGGCCTGTGTGAGGTAAATATGGGGTCAGTTAAATAATTGGTCAAGCACTAACTAGACAATGCATTTACTTTTTCAACTTTTCCTAGGTAACTGTTGTACTTAATTTAATCAAAACTCATTGAATTCTCTAAGCTAAACAAAGACTTTTGGAGGGTTCCAGTGGAAGATTCAAATTACCAGGCAATTCCATCCCTATTGCTCAACTTCCATCAACACTAGAACAATGACTCTCTGGTCAGTGAAAAATCTGGGTCTTTTTTATTAATTCACTCATGGGACATGGGTGTCACTTTCTCGCCAGCATTTATTGCCCATCCCTAGTTACCCTTGAAAAGGTGGTGCAGACCTGCCTTCTTAAACCGCTGCAGTCCATCAGTACAATTTCCTATCAGCAGTATACCACTGTATCATCACCTCTGCTGGATCTATCCTGCTGCTGTCCCTGAGTTTATCGTTGTCATTTCCATTGCTGAGATTGATACCGGGTGGTCCATTCGGTATCATTTCTTTATCAGAGTTTGTAGCGGTTTGACATAACTGAGCGGCTTCTTCGGCCATTTCAGAAAGCAAAGAGGAGTCAATCACGTTGCTTGAAATGATATCACTGTTCCTGGATCACAATTCTGGAATTCTTTCCATGACAGCAGTGGGGGTCTACCTATAGCACATCGACTGCTGCACTTCAAGAATGCAGCTCATCACCACCTTCTCCAGGGCAATTAAAGTTGGGAAATAAATGCTATCTCAGCCAGTAGTGCCTGCATCCTGTGAAATTATAAAATATTCTTTTTATTATTTCTGAAGTCTAATATTGGATCCTTATTTTACCTTTACTCCAGTGGCGACATCCCTGTTTTCCAACTATCTCATCATCTTTGAAATTGTTCATTGTCACCCTGGACTTGATGGGGCCACTAACATCCTCTTACTTCTTCCCTGGCTTTCTTTCAGCCTTCCTCAGTCCATTTCTCAATGTTATCCACTATCTGTTTTTCCTCTTTCATTTTTCCCTCAATTTCTCCATCAATTGTTGGCGGGTTCAAGACAGACTAGTCTTTGCTTCCAATATCCATACATGGTTACTTTTCACTCTATAATCCCACTTCTTCATCTCTCTCTGTATCTAAGGAAATTGCAGCACATTACAGGTGACATCAGCAGCATAATTCAACACCTTTCTGAAGAAGGGTCTAGGCCCGAAACGTCAGCCTTCCAGCTCCTCTGATGCTGCTTGGCCTGCTGTGTTCATCCAGCTCTACACCTTGTTATCTCAACACCTTGACAGCAGGTTACATTGTTTATGCTCCTGATGGTTGTGTGTGAACATTTAGAAGATTCAAAACTAATTTAGTTAAAAGTTTGCGGGTGATGGGGCTGGATTTGTAGGAGGACCTTGGGTGGGATAACTGCAAACATACAACATAGGAGCAGAGTAGGCCAATAGACCCCTCAAGCCTATTCTGGCATTCAATACGATCATGGCTCATCTGGTTGTGTTCTGAATTCCACATTCCCATCTATCCCCGAAAACCCTTGATTGCCCACCTAACAAGAATCTATCTGACTCTGCTTTAAAAATATTCTATGGCCCTGCCTCCACTGCCTTCTGAGGCAAAGATTTCCAAAATCCTACAACTCTGAGACAGAGAAAAAAAAAATCCCCTCACGTCTGCTATTTAGTGTTATGTTCATGTTAATGTGACCAACTAATTTTAAAACAGTGCCCCCTAGGTCTGGACTGATACACAGATGTCATAGCAGCAAATGTCAAGTGTGACAGCACTGTGCCTTTAAGAGGGATTTGCACTATGCTGTTTTTTTTTGCAGAGGGGTGTTGCCACTGTGGTGACAGAATGTCTGTTTAGAAGCAGTGGGTAAACAGCTTTGAGCTCCCCGAGTGTTTTTTTCAAATTTAACAAAAGAAGTGTGAGTGGGTGGAGTCAGGCTCACACAGACCCAGGGGTTAGTTGTGCTTTTAGCTGGGGTTTGGAGTTGGCTATTGAAGCTGATAGATACAGCTCTCTGTCTCCTGTAGCAACAAGCTTAAATTCTCTCTCTGCTGCTAGATTGTTTCTTTCAGTGTTCCTTTCTCCTGGACTGTACGGGAGATAGCACATGAGGGAAATCTGTTTTGTCGAAGGTAGCAGGCCAGGCAGCATCAGAGGAGCAGGAAAGCTGACGTTTCGGTTCTGGACCCTTCCTCAGAAAATTGAATTTCTGAAGAAGGGTCCAGACCCGAAATGTCAGCTTTCCTGCTCCTCTGATGCTGCCTGGCCCACTGTGTTCATCCATCTCTACACCTTGTTATCTCTGATTCTCCAGCATTGGCAGTTCCTACTATCTCTGTTTTGCTGAATCTGCCTTTGCCAAGGGTGTGTTTATGGGATGCTGCTATATTGTAACAGTTGGTGATTAGTAGCTAAATAATATTTTATTTTATTAAGTATTTCAATTAAGTTATGTCAATTCTCTTTTTTGTTTGTTTTTTAACTGTGTTGTAAGAATAAATCTGTTTTGCTTGAAGCCTAGTAATGGATTAATCAAATCACATCTGGAACACAGCACCTTTTTCCTTCAAATAGAATAAAAAGTTAGGCTGCAGACTATCCCCTTGATACCTTTCAAGGGGGTTTGGTCTGGTCCATAACACAAGAAGCTGTATTGTTTTGGAGGAGACAGGCACCACCTGTCAGTTCAGGTGGGTTTTCAAGTTCTCAAGGCACAAACTGAAGAAATACAGTGAAGGAAAGCTCTCTTGATCAATATTTATCCTTAAGCCAAAACAGATAAATGGGATAACAAGGTGTAGAGATGGATGAACACAGTAGGCCAAGCAGCATCAGAGGAGCAGGAAAGCTGACGTTTCGGGTCTAGATCCTTCTTCAGATAAATGGGCATGTGTTTCATTTCCTGTTTGTGCAGCGATTGCAGACACTAAGTGGCTGGCATGCTTATCAACAAAACAGTAGTTCAAAATTTGGCATGACAAGCACTTTGAGGACACAAATGTCATATACATGCAAGTAATTCCAATCTTGCTGATCATTCATCATTTATGTCAAAGCAGACTTTGAGGTTTGTTCTAAATTGATATATCATACAATGTATCTAAGCTTCAGCTTACCTGCAGGCTGTCGAGAACGACTCGTATTGATTGAACTTGTCGTCGTATGGCCCCTGAAAACCTCTCATATGTTGCAGCATCATATTCACTCATGTGAATTTCCTTTAACCTATAATAGAAACAAAGTGAAGTGTTGGCTGTAGGCTCCTCAAGTACAAATTTGTCTGAAGCAGCATTTCACCTGTTCCTCCTCTAATCTTGTGTATTATATTCACTGCACCCAATGTGGCCTACTCTATGTTGGAGAAATCAAATGCAGACTGGGGGACCGCTTTTCAGAACACCTCCGGTCATTGTGCAAGCATGACTCCAACCTTCCTGTAGCCAGTCATTTTAACACAGTGGGCTTGCAGGCCCATTTATCTGTCCTTGGCGTGCTGCAGTGCTCCAGTGAATTTCAACAAAAACTGCAGGAGCAACATCTCATCCTCAGACTAGGCATTTTACAACCTTCAACACCTTCAGATTGCAAAGCCACTCCCATTCCTTCCCTGTCTTTTAGCTTTACTTATTACATTCTCTGTCACCATGTCTTCTCTCCCCTCCTCCCACTCCAGTGGGACTGTCTGTTCTTTCCTGTCTGGCAGTTAGACACAGACCATTGTTCTACATTAGCTTGCTTTCTCTCCATGGATGCTGCCTGATCTACTGTGATCTCCGGCATTTTTTGTTTCAGGACAAAGGAAATATCAAGCCTGGATTAAAATGCAACTCATTACTGTATTAAAACTCTGATTTAGCTAGCTTACTCAACAGATATTTGATGCCGCCCTAAATAAATAATTATGGCTGGTAAAACTGCCATCTAATCATTGGGGGTAAAACACATCTAATTCTGAGCTGGGGTCGATACACACTGTATCGAATCTGACTTTCAGCATCTGCAGTTCTTGCTATCTTCTAATTCCGAGCCAGTCCTGATTCTTTGCTCAATTCTGTTTAACTGAGTTGCTGGCCAAGTTTTGTTATAGAGAAACAAGAGGAATGCATTCAGCCTCCTCGGCCTGTTACACTTTTCCTTCTATCATTGATTAATCCATTTAGCTGCCTTTGTTCCATATCCAATACTCCCCTTGCCTAATGAAAACCTACCTCTCACAATGATGTTGGAGGTTGGACTTTGAACTGAGGTTCGTAGATGCTGCTGGGAGCTGCTAAAGAATGAGTAGGTAGTCTCTGAGGTCACAGTTCCATGCTCAAGTCTTACACTAGGACATGTTAGCTATTGACATGGTCAGGATTAACAGGTGCTAATCTTCTCAAAACTTCCCCACTCATTCCCATATCGATATTCGCCTTTATGTGATGGTACAAACTAAAGGAACTCATTCATTTCAGATAGACATTCAGAATAGGAAGAACGTTGGAAATGATGGTAGCCTCATGTGAGTTTGGAGTAACATGATTCTTGATTGCCTTCTGATTTGGTGCTGCATGTCTAAGGTAGAAATGCTGGCCTTGCTAGCAACATTCACATCGCGTGAAAGAAAGGTGGCATGTGGTTCAGTGGTTTGTGCTGCTGCCTCAAAGTGTCAGGGACCCAGGTTCAATTCACCCCCGGGCAACTGTCTGTGTGGAGTTTGCACGTTCTTCCCATGTCTGCATGGGTTTCCTCCCAGAGTCCAAAGATGTGCAGGTTAGGTGGATTGGCCATGCTAAATTGTCTCATAGTGTCCAGGGATATGCAGGTTAGGTGGGCCAACAATGGAAATTGTGGGGTTACAGAGACATGGTAGTGGTCTGGGTAGGATGCTCTTTGGAGGGTCAATGCAGACTCGATGAGCCGAATGGTATCTTTTGGCACAGTAGGGATTCTATGATTCTATCTAGCTGATTAACAGGAGCAGTTAAGAGTGGAAGGTATAGGTACAATATTCTACAGATCTTCCACTAAGGATATTTGCAGTTCTATCGTGAAGCTGTTAAGGCTTTTGAAGAAGTTTCTCAATATCCAAATCCTTGGGGAATAATCCACTGGGCCTCACCATTTACTGAAACAAACGCATTGCTGAGGCCAGTGAATGCAATACAGCACTGCTGGTTCTGTTCTTGATTTTTTTTGGATTTTCCTGGCAACAAACACAATCTCAGAGCTTCTTCTGCAATGTCTGAAGTCACACTTTGTCTCTGGCAACTATAGGAAGTTAGTGATTCAGAACAATGTGTGCCAAGACTTTCCCTGCTGTGTAAATGGGCACACTTCGATAGTTTCCACAATGTGATTTATCTTCCTTCAAGAAGAAAATTATAATTAAAAATTTAAAGGGATATAATGCACGCACTTGAGTAGGAAAGGATGCATCGTATGCTTGAGTAAGAAATGGATTTGTGGCACACATAATCAATGATACAAGGAAAAGTGAAACAGCTTAAGAGGCTGAATGGCTTACTCTTGTTTATCTATTACAGTTTACTGCATTTGAATATTCAATGGATATTAAAGCACTTCATGTTTGAGTACAAAAGGAGTTTACTGTGTTTGAATTTTAAAGGGGTTGTGTATTAAATGGGTGCTCTAAATGTTTTTGAGTATTTAATGGGTTTACTGTGTTTCAGTATTAAAGGGCACATGGAAGGTGGTTTGAATATTAGAGCAATTTAATTGTGTTTCTGTATTAAAAGATGCACTGAACGAGTTTGTGTATTAAAGAGGTTTACTGGGGTTGAGTATTAAAAGGATACACAATGCTACAATGGTGCTAGCTTTCTGGAACGAGGTAATAATGTACAAGATGACACCAAGTCAAGTCGACAACTAGCATGTCATCCTCAGTTGTTATAAAGAATTTCCAGGATTAAGTGAGAATCATCCTACAGGTGACAGAGTTTACATGACAAGAATCGTGAATAGTTACAGAATATGAAACACAGCTTCTTTGATTTCGACACAATGAACAAACTCTGAATGGCCTTTTTAAAACTCTCTCTCAGAATAGACTGTGCTTATATTTTCCAGTGTCTTCAATGTTCATTGGTTTTGTCTACAGTTTGTTAATGTTCGATATTAAGCAGTAGCTTTTTCAGTGGTTTAAAAAGGAGACGTGCCTAGTTCACAATTCAGTGCAGACTTCGTAAATAGTGCCCTTCATGCAACAGGACAATTCACAGAAAATCCTAAAAGAAGTGAAGTGTTGACACGGACATGAAATTGGATGGATTTCATGGGAGGACAAACAATGTTCTGTTCACACTTTTGGAATGGGCCATTCCCAATGAAAATGATTAGTGGAAAAAAGCTTTCGGAAATCCTGTACTCAAAGGTTGTTTACACCAGAAAGAAGCTTACACAAGGCCCTCCAAACCACAAGACATTCTGATTTGGAAATATATCGCTGTTCCATCACTGTTGCTAGGTCAAAGTCCTGGAACTCCCTCCCTAACAGCAATGTGGGTGTCACTATATGTTATAGATTGCAGCAGCTCAAGAAGGCAGCTCACTACCATCTTCTCCAGGATAACTGGGAATGAGTAATAACTGCTGGCCTAGAAAGTATATTAAAACTTGTCTGTCTATTTGCTCTTTCTTTCTTCTTAGCTCTGACTAGTTCTAATGAAAGCTCATCAACCTGAAACAATTAGACTGTTTCTCTCTCCACAGATGCTCTCTAACCTACTAAGTGTTTTCAACATTTTCCGTTTTAATTTCAGACTTCTGCTTCCTGCAGCATTTTCCTTTTATCCCAGTAACTATTTATCTCGTTTACTAAAGGAGATTACAAAGGAGGCTCCATACTCTGTGGTGCGGTGAAGCTGCTGGTTAGAGTCAGCATGGAACAGTGATGATCTTGTGCCCATGTCTGGAGACAGGGATTGATAGTGAGTGAGTCTGGAAGTTGTTGAAGGGGCTGCACTTCAGTAACATGAAGGAATGAAAACCTTAGAGGCAGGAAGAATAAAGCATGATGAAATGGGCGGCAGGGTGAGAGTTGAGAATGAAAATGGACATCATTGTTTCTTTAGGATTATGCCAAAAGATACCTTTGAGTTGCCCCCATGTTGTGAATGATAGTAGACAGTTTTTTATTTGGCAGTATGAGTCCTGGTTAGCTGGCAGGGATCTCAACTAAGTTGGTGGTTCTGGATTCAAGTTCCACTCCAGAGAATTGAGCTCAAACCTAGTGTGACTATACAGCGTGGTAGCGAGGACCTAACGAACAGTCTTTCAAAAGTAACACAAAAATGAAGCTCCATCTCTTTCTCAGGTGGACCTAAAAGATCCAGAATGGTATTTTGGAGAAAGGCAAGGGAGTTTTCCTCAGCTGTGTATTCATCCATGTCTATCACTCAACTGACATCATCATAAAGCGGCCTGGCCATTATCACATTGCAAGATCTTGCAGTGTGTAAACTACATTTCTTACAAGAACAGCTGGTGATTAGTTATGGCCACTGCCATAGCTTTAATCTGTGTACCGGCCGTGGTAATTTATGCAGAACTACCTCCTCACGTTGTAGGAGCTGCAGAGTGGTGCCCCTCAAATTACATAGAATCAATAGCTTCACTCTAATGGAAAGAGATGCCTATGGCTCTTTGTAGACTATGGCTGATTAGCTTTCACTGTAAAAGTAATATTCTTATTTGGTTTTTTTATGGGATGCGGTAAGATGAGCATTTTCTGCCTAACCCTAATTGACTTGAACTGAGGTGCTCACTCGGCCATTTCAGACAGCAGCTAAGAGCCTACTACAGAAATTATTGGAGAAACTCAGCTGGCCTGGCAGCTTCTGTGGAGAGAAAGCAGTTTCGTGTCCAGTGACTCTTCTTCAGAATTGATAATAGATAGGAAAAGACGAAGACAGAATGTGAAGAAGGAAGGGAGGCCAGAGAGAGAGAATGACAGTTAGGCAGACAAAGTGATGGATGATAATGAGGGAGAAAGAAAAGTTGCTAATAGGGACCATACATATGTAAACATGGTTGCTTGGGCAGAAAGCAGCCTGGGTGATAACAGGGCCTAGAATGTAGGGGTGAGGGTGTTCAGGATCTAAAACGATTGAGTCCTGAAGGCTGCAGGAAAATGTTCTTCCAGCTTGCACTGAGCTTCACTGCAGTACTGCAGCAAACCTGAGACAGAGATGTTGGGAACACAGCAGAGTGCTGAAGTGGCAGGCATCTGGAAGCTCAGGGTAATTTTTGCAGACAATATGTCTTCTGCAAAGCAGTAGCCCAGTCTACACTTTGTTTCCCCAATGTAGAGGACATCATATTGTGATTAGTGAATACTGTAGACCAGATAGAGTGAAGTGCAGGTAAATTGCTGCTTCAGCTGGAAGGTGGGTCTGGGGCTTTGGATAGTGAGGAGGGAGAATATACACGGGCAGGTATTACACAGTTTGCAATTGCATGGGAAGGTACTGTAGGGGTCTGGGGAGGTATTGGGAGTAGAGGAGTGGACTAAGGTATCCCAGAGGGAACGGTCTCTGCGGAAGGTTGACAAGGGAAGGGAGGAGAATATGTGTCTGGTGGTTGCATTCCACTGGAGGTGGTGGAAGTGGTAGCTTTTGGTCCTTCGGATGTGGATGCTGTTGGGGTTAAAGTGAGGACCGGGGGATCCTATCAGTGTTGTGGGAGGGAAGAGAAGGTGTGAGAGCTGCAGCTTTCATGACTCAAAACTGAGGTTGATAATTTCAGGGTCTTTTTGATGTCCTTTACCCACTCCCACAGCATCACGTGAGCTGCTTTCAGCACAGCCGACCCATTTTCACCTAAGTATGGTCCCTATTCAGCAAGTCATCCTTCTCCCTATTTATTATCATCAATCACTTTGTTGGCCTGTCATTCCTTCTCCCTTGGCTCCATCACAGTATAACTGCTCAGTAACCCGTCACCCACCCCCATCTTCAGTATATAGTTCCACCTTTCCTGAGCCACGATCAGATCTGAAGAAGGGTCAATGGACTTGAAACTTTGTTTTTTTCTCTGTAAATGCTGCCAGATCTGCTGAGTTTCTCTGGCAATTTCTGATTTTGTTTTGGATTTCCAGCATCATTGTTTTACACAAGAGTCAACTATGCTGCCTGGGCCTGGAGTCACATATAGGTTAGACTGAGAATGGGTGGGAGACATCCTTCTCCACAGGAATAAAGATGGATTTTTAAGATAATTAATCATAGTTGGCACGGTCTCTGTTACTGAGACTAGCGTTTGCTTCTAGGTTTTGTTCATTGTTTTTATATTCTACCAACTGATGTGGTGGGATTTGAATCCAGAGCATTAGCCTAGGCATTTGAAGTAGTAGTCCAATAATATTAGAGTCCCCCATCACATCATCAACTGTAAAGGACTTTGGAACACCCTGAGACTGGGAATTATGCTACATAATTACTAATTCTTTCTCTCATGTAGGATTGTAGTGTAATGAGGTCCTGCATAGGACAAAGTTAGATGACATGAAAATCTTTTCTAGGGCTCGCCACTTGGAAACATCCTAGTCTTGGTCCTACCATCACAGGGTGGATGGGTATTGGTGAGATCTGAAGCTGGTGGTGGAATCAGACAGAGTCACACCAGACTGGGCTTCCAACAAGTCAATTCAAATGATGGAAGTTCGGGAGCTCCATGCCATCTTTTATTTTTTATCTAGCTTTATGTTTAAAGAGTTGCTCAACAATGTGGAGGGACTGAACTAAATTTTAAATAAGGGGGTGTTTATGAAAGTAGACCATTATTACATATTCCATCAACTTGACAACACAGAAACAGGCCATCAACTGAATAGTCAATGCTAGAGTTTATGCTCCACATGAACCTCCTCCTTAGCCTCGCCTTAAATGTATAAATGTGATGATTTCTGTGGCAGCGAGTCACACATCATCATCACTCTCAGGGTAGAGAGGTTTTTTTCCTGAATTGCCTGTTGGATTTATTAGTGGCTATCATATATACTTGAGCCCTGTTTTTGTATTCCCTGCATTTTCTCTGAATTTCATTAAGAGGTGACATGGAACGCTGTTGTGACAAATTCATCCATTCTTCATAAATTTTCTCTTTTTCCCTCCCTTATCTGTCACCTTCTCTGCACCCTGTCTCATTTCCTTTCCTTTGTTCACCATCTCTTTGTCGCCCTTCTATCTGTTCACTCCCAATGGTCCCACAAATGGCTCAAAAAGGGGAAGAGAAACAATACACTCTCTACTCAACATGTCATCTTTCCTTGAAATTGCAGCTATTGCCAGGCTGAAGACATGTCACTCGCTCCTTTGATCATCAGCATGGATGAAAGGAGAAAGACATGCTGTGCTGTTATAACAACAGGTTCAGCGCACACACCTTTCCTTGAAAGCTTTCTCAGCCATCGCTCTTGCAGCTCTTTTCACTTCCTCTGGCACTGCATCCTTTTCAGCCTGCGACACCTGGTAAACTTTGTGCCCTGCATCCAAACGATACGGACCACCTTTCCCACCTAGTCCAGCAGTATCTCTTCCACCTGGAATGAAAAACAAGCATTGGTAGTATCCGAAAAGGGGGCACGTGCAGAGAACGAGGTGGTGGAATGATAATAGGTTATATGCATCTTTGGAGAACCAGCACAGACATGATGGGCCAAATTGTATTATCTGAGAACTACATGCAGTTGCTTACAGTTCAGCTCAACAAGCAAAGCTCCTGACTTTATGCTGCTTTGGTCACTCATGGAGATGCCTTGCTTGGGTGGACTTTGGGTTAGGATGGGATTGGATATACCTTTGTAATCAAATTGCCTCGGCTACAAGCTTGAAGGGTTGAATGGTCTCTTCCTATTCCAGTTACACTGCTTGTCTATGGTGCTCCACAATATACAAATAACAGCAGTTGGTTCACCGAGCCTCCTGTTCGATTTTTTAATTAATTCATGGGATGTGGGTGTCACAGGGTGAGCCAGCATTTATTGATCATCCCTAGTGGTGGCAATGATGAGCTGCGTTCTTGAACCACTGCAGTCTACTTGGTATAAGGACATACACACAATGCTGTTGTGGAGGAAATTCCAAGATTTTGACCCAGAGACAGTGAAGGAATGGTGATCTATTTCCAAGTCAGGACGGTAAGTGGTTTGGAGGGGAACTTGCAGCTGGTCATGTTCCTTTGTATCTGCTGCCCTTGTCCATCTAGGTGGAGGTATTTGTGGATTTGGAAGGTGCTGTCTAAGGAGCCTTGGTGAATCTCCACAGTATACCTTGTAGATAGTACACACTACTGTTACTGAGCATTAGTGATGGAGGGATTGGATGTTTGCTGCCATGGTGCCAATCAAGCGGGTTGCTTAGTCCTGGATGGTGTCAAGCTTCTTGAGTGTTGTTGGAGGTGCACCCATTCAGACACGTGGGGAGTATTCTATTACACTCCTGACGTGCCTTGTGGATGGTGGACAGGCTTTGGGGGGTCAGGCGATGAGTTACTTGCTGCAGGATTCCGAGCTTCTGAATTGATCTTATAGCCACTGTATTTATATGTAGCCCAGTTGAACATCGGGTCAATGGTAATCCCCAGGATGTTGGTATGGAGGAAGAGGAAGCAGAAGGGAAGGAGGAGGGAGGGAAAGAGGAGGGAAAAGAAAGAGATGGAGGAAGGGGAGGCAAAAGAGAAAGTAGGCAGAGAAGAGGAGGGAAAGTGGAAGGGGGAATGGAGGGAAAAGGAATGTGGAGAAACAGAAGAAGGCAAGTTGAGAGAGGGAAGGATGAGGGAAAGAAGGTGGTTGAGGAAAGGAGGATGGGGCAGGTGGCAGGAGGGTTTGGGAGGGAGGGTGGGTCAGTGAGGTGAGAAGAAGGTTAAAGAATGGAAGGACGGAGGCTATGGGGTGGAGGGAATGGAGGTGGGTAGGGAGCAGCAAGAGGTGAATGGGAGGTGAGGGAGGTGGCAAGAGGAGGGCAGAGGCAGAGGAGGTGAAGGCCAGAGGAAGTGAAAGGAAGAGACAGGGCAGTGAAACAAGGAGGAGGAATAGTATTAGAGTAGGAAGCGAAATCGGTAGGTGCAGCCAAGCCATGGTGAAGGGGTAGAAGGTAGACAGAAAGGTGTAGGTGTGTTTGGGGGAGGAAGGAGATCCAGAAGTCTAAACAGTTAGGAAGAAAATTGGTGAGAAAAATTGTGAGACGTCAAAGCCATCAACCTATTTGCTATTGTCTTCCAGTTTAGCATAAGGAGCAGGAGTAAGCCATCCGGCCCCTCAAGCCCACTCCGCCATTCAATAAGATCATGGCTGATCTTTTCGTGGTACCAGGGGCCCTATTTCGATTCCATCCTCGGGTGACTTGTCTTTGTGGAATTTGTCCATTCTCCCCGTGTGCGTGAGTTTCCTCCAGGTGTCCTGGTTTCCTTTGACAGTCCAAACATGCGGTTAGGTGGACTGGCCATGCTAAATTGCCCATAGTGTCCAGGGATGTGGAGGATGGGTGGATTAGCCATGGGATTGCAGAGTTACAGGGACAGGATTGGTGTGGTGGCAGTGGCAGTGGAGGGGGAGGGGAGAGTGGTGGGTTGAAGACGAGGTGGATCTGGGTGGGATATTCTTCGGAGGGTTGGTGTGGACTTGATGGGCCGAATACAGTTGCTTCTGCACTGCAAGGATTCTATGATTCAGTGTGGTCATTATAAAAGATAAGTGACAACCAACCTCTCCGGGCTGAATATGTCCAATTGTGAATGTGGGGCTTCAAGGAGATGTTAAAATGCCAACTTTGTTTTCTTACAGCATTAAAAGAAAGGATAAGTCTTTATCCATTTCTCTCTTCCTAACTGATTGGAGATTAAATTCACACATTCCTGTTCAGATTTCCTCTTTAATCCTTGTCCTGTTTCTTTCACATTTCTCCAAACTGTCTGGTTAAGGAGATATCCTGGTGCTCACCCTGTGCCCTCACTTGTCCTGCTATCCGCTCACACTAGCAGCTAGAAATTATCCAAGCTGAAGGGTGCAGCAGCAAATTTAACAAATAGCAGATGCTATCAGATACTCTGTTACAGAAAAACCTGGCCCGATAGCAACTTGCCTATGAAAAAAATGCCATCACCAGTGGCATAGAGTGGTTAAGACCAAATAAATTATCAGAATTTCTGCAGTGTTTATTATAATCTGTGTCATTTCATGTCTCCTGCACCATTATTAGTAACACATCTGTGAAAAATGATTGCTTGTAACAAGCATTATAAAGGCACTTTTTGAGTGGCCTCGCTCTAATTGTAATTTTCACTCTTTCACACTGACAGATTTTGAATGAGCTCCTCCTGCAGCTCAGGTAAGTGTCTGGCCCCAAAGCACAGCAGTTCCTCCCATAAAAAGTAAGGAAATCGACAACAGTGCACAGCGCAGGAACAAAACAAATTCACCAACTGGCTGGGAAGAAAAGTGTGGAAAATGAGCTGCTGCAAGAATACTTCACCATAATAATTCAAACATTGCTGTATCAGTTATTACTGAAGACTGCTACCAGGAACCAGTAGATGTAAAATGGGAGGGAGCGTTCTGTTTCACATGAGAATCTTGTTCCAACCAAGGTTCAACCACATGGCCACTCTCTTTCTCACCCTCTTCAGAAACAGTCAAAAACTAAAAAACATTCTGTTAGTGAGATTCATCTCATAGGGTTGGAAAATTTACTTGCTTTTCAAAATTAATTTTCCAGCCCCACCACATTGCTACCATGAGATCAAAATTTGCAGGGCCTGGCTTGTGGCTTGGAGACAGACCATGTTGAGAAAGGGCTAGAAAAAACATATTTCAAATACAGGACAAAGATTTACACAGTTAACAATCACCACAGAGGTTACTCATTGAACGACATTGAAGTATGATACTGTATACAATTGCTTCTGTTTTGTGACAACACTCTGTGTAAAGTGCAAGAAGACAGAGGGAAGTGCAAGCCAGCACCCATTGTTGGAAGATGCTCACATTACTTAAGGAAGTCACCATAGCTGCTCAATCTGAGACAGATTCTAGGGCAGACCCAAACCTGTTAGGCTTCAAAAGGCCTTAAAAGTCCTATTGTCTCCTTCAATAGAAATGATCCCATTATCTCAAACATCTCCTCACAACAATCTGCTCTGGGCAACCAGTGCAGCCATACTGAGTGGCATGCAAACTATGGCCAAGCTTGATTGTGTAATAATCCACTGGTTTGATGTTTTTTTCAGTTTATCTGGATGACAGTGAGGACTGCAGGGTGGATAAACTAACTGACCGTGGCACTACTATAGGAAGCCATTCAAGCAGTAGGGGACAATATAATGAGGGAAAGTGACAATGTGCTCTGCAGCCAAAAGTGAGAACCCAGAGTGCTGTCCGCCCGGTGCCAGGGTTTTGGATACTTGCTCAGGAGTGGAGAACAACTTGTAGTGGGAGGGACAAGCTCCAGTAGTCATGGTTAATGTTGGTTCTAATGATATACATAGAACATAGAAAAGAGATTCTGCTGAGGGAGATTGATAGGTTAGACGCCAAATTAAAATGCAGACCCTCAAAGATAATAATCTTTAGCTTACTCACTGAGCTATGTGCAATTGTCCTGAGACAAATGTCATCCACAATCTCAAGGTACATTGGAAAAGTAGCATTAAAGTTTGAAGCCATGATCAGAGCTTACCATCAAGAATGATTTGAGATAAAGGAATTCCTTTGTCATTATTTACTACAAAGAATGCTCTTAATGAATGCACAGGATTTAGTTCTTTTGAAGTAGTATGTGATCATCAGGTCAGACGACTACATAAATTAATTAAAGAGAAACTGATAAAGCAAAGCTCTGAAACTGCACTTCTAAGCTTTGTTTCAAGTTTCAAAGAGAAATTGACCAAAGCATATTAGCTGATTAAAAAACCATTTGAACAGTGCTCAACAAACAATGAAAAATAATGCCGATATATAGGCCAAAATTTGAAATTTTGTTACTGGAGACACATTATTACCTGTCTCTGTGGAACTATTAAAAGCAAAGGTCACTGGACCTTATTAAATAAAAACAAAACTCAATGATATTAATTATGTAGTAAGTACTCCAAACAGGAGAAACCATCAACTAGTGCGTCATGTTAACATGTTAAAAATTATATTATGACAGGGATAATAGTCAGGAGGAAAGCGTAGTTATGGCAATGAAAGTAGAGAGTGACCTAGAAATATCAGAAGAATTGGAGTATGAATCAGAAATTGAAACTTCAAAAGTTGACATTGCAGCAATTAGTTTGGAAAACAGATGTACTTATAGGGTTAGGTCAAATCATGTTTTATCTTCCAAAAATGTAATGACGTGAGTTATGAAGGTTGTTATAGAATTATAAATCAATTTGTGGGAATAGGCCAGGAAAAACTGTTTTGGTTGTTCATGATGTTAACTTGAGAAATGCATTAATTATAAAACAACACCCTTACAGACTCAATCCATAGAGATTAGCTCAGGTGAAGGAAGAAATTAAGTTCATGATGGGCAATGACATTATTGAGTCATTGTAGCT